TCTGTTTAAAAGCTTCCAAAGAAGGAGCCTCCACCACACTCCGGGGCAGCGAGTTCCACTGCTGAACGGCTCTCACAGTCAGGAAGTTCTTCCTCATGTTCAGATGGAATCTCCTCTCTTGTAGTTTGAAGCCATTGTTCCGCGTCCTAGTCTCCAGGGAAGCAGAAAACAAGCTTGCTCCCTCCTCCCTGTGGCTTCCTCTCACATATTATACATGGCTATCATATCTCCTCTCAGCCTTCTCTTCTTCAGGCTAAACATGCCCAGCTCCTTAAGCCACTCATCATAGGGCTTGTTCTCCAGACCCTTGATCATTTTAGTCGCCCTCCTCTGGACACATTCCAGCTTGTCAATATCTCTCTTGAATTGTGGTGCCCAGAATTGGACACAATATTCCAGGTGTGGTCTAACCAAAGTGGAATAGAGGGGTAGCATTACTTCCCTAGATCTAGACACTATGCTCCTATTGATGCAGGCCAAAATCCCATTGGCTTTTTTTTGCCGCCACATCACATTGTTGGCTCATGCAACAATGTAACAAAGATTGTCAGGACTTTGTTTCCCAAAACTACCACATTCTCTCTATGGCTCTTGTATTAGTAGGTTGACAAGCAGATGGGAAGGGAACTGGCATTTCTCAGGGGTCTGGATTTAGCTTTTGGGACTGATCTAAGAGTCACATCTATATTAGGAACAAAGAAACTGCATTGCATATGTAAAATACACAGAGACAGAAAGTATGGCTTCAAACTGCATTCGTTCACCAATGTGATGAAGGGAAGCAAGCTGAAAATTCCCTGTGCATGCAGAACGCATACAGGAATGCTTTGCCTACTCCTTGTAAGTTTAAATAATGTATCTCTGGCTCCTCAAAGAAACAGGATAAGTTGCTCCCAGGGGCTACAATAGCAGCAAATAATATTAAGATTCAATGGGGCGTTTCTGCCCATGAACAATGTGGCTGCATAATACAGGCCTCCTTGGGGTTTATTTTTACTGAGTCACTCTGCAGAATTCTGTAGATGAAAAGATCCAGTAAGTGCATTTGCTTCTAAATCAACACTTGCAAGCATACAATGGCCTTAAGCTCTGTTATCTACCATATGCCAATAATTTACATCCATAACCTTTTGGGGAGGGGACTTCTTCACAATGACTCTCTCCTTATTCAGCAGACATTCACCTTCTACTGTTAAAGTAGTGCAGTCATCAATGTTGCCGGACTACAATTCCCAGTGTTTTTCAAAACCGGAGTTGCAATTCAAGAACATCTGGAGGAATGCAATTTGCTCTCTAATCTGCAAACAAACATCATACTTGCACTCTATTCATGGATGAGCAAAGAGATACCAGGTTCCTTGTACTGAGGAAAAGCTAATAGTCCATCTAGCTTTGCGGATTTTCAAAGAATTCAGGAGTTAAACCTGAAATGTTTAGTGTGACAAGCAGACAGTCTTCCACTGCATTATGACACTGAACTGGAAAGAGGGAAGAATCAGCTGAAAAATACAAGAACAGATCCTGCTGTCTGATGCGTGCAGAGGGCCCTGTCATCTGAGTTAATTCCTAGGTTACATAAACAAAAAGCACACACAAATTTCTGAAAATGCACACTCATACATTAGATAGTATGTCTATAGTTGACCGAGTCCACAGTGTTTTCCAATAATAATATTTGAATAATAAACATGTTAACAGAAAAATGTGTATCTTTTACTTCTGTGTTCCCAACTTCAGTGGAAGCCTGTAAACATTAAGGTAGTACCTATGGCTTATTTTATGCAAATGTAAGGATAGGCTGGCTTTAACCTTTAAAGTCCTGAACGGTTTTGGTCCAGATTACCTGTCCGAATGAATCTCCTGCTATGAACCATCACGAAGTTTAAGATAATCAGGAGAGGGCCTGCTCTCGATCCTGCCACTCTCGCAAACATGGTTGGTGGGGACGAGACACAGGGCCTTCTTGGCAGTGGCCCCCCCGTCTGTGGAACTCTCTCCCTAAGGATATCAGGTTGGCCACCTCCCTCCTGTCCTTTACAAGACTACTGAAGACCTGGCTCTGGGGTCAGGCGTTCAATTAGAGGCCAGCAGCAATAGGAAAACTAAATTTGGATTTTGCGACATGGATTCTCCCGGCTCGGCTTGGTTTTACTGGCACGTTAATCTATTAATTTATTGTTAAATTTTACTGATGATGTTGTATAATGTTTTAGAATGATTTTATTGTGAATTGTAATTTTTATGGTATTTATGTTGTTAGCATCCTCTGATGCTCATGTGAGGCTGCGCTGAGTCCTCCTTGTGGGGAGAAGGGCGGGATATAAATATATTAGATAGATAGATAGATAGATAGATAGATAGATAGATAGATAATAAATAGGGCCCTTGTCTTAGTTTATGGTAATCTAAAGATGGGGCTGTGTCGTTCAAACTGGCTGCCTAGAAATATGATTACTATCTGATTGTTATAATAGAGCAAAGATATACATAATTTATCCAGAACTATTCGGAAAAGGTAAGCTACACAGTCAGATCTCCGCATTCCATGGGGTTAGGTGAACAGGACCCCCTGTGAAAGTGAAAAGCCACAAATAAAAAAAGACATTTTTCTAGGTCTGAAGGTGACCATCATTGCACTGAAGGACCTAGAGCAGTGCTTCTCAACCTGGGGTCCCCAGATGTTTTTGGCCTTCAACTCCCAGAAATCCTAACAGCTGGTAAACTGGCTGGGATTTCTGGGAGTTGTAGGCCAAAAACATCTGAGGACTCCAGGTTGAGAACCACTGACCTAGAGCTCTTCCACACAGCTCTATATCCCAGAATATCAAGGCAGAAAATCCAACAATATCTTCTCTGAACTGAGTTATCTGAGTCCATACTCAGATAATGTGGGATTTTCTGCCTTGATAATTCTTGGATATAGGCCTGTGTGGTAGGGCCCCTAGAGATTCCTAGAAAGATGTTATCTCTAGAGCCCCATCCACAATGTCATATAATCCAGTTTCTGAGGCTGCTTCCACACAGCTGTATAAAATTCACATTGCACTGGTTTATATGGCAGTGTGGACTCAAATACTGGGTTGTTGTAGGTTTTTTCGAGCTATATGGCCATGTTCTAGAGGCATTCTCTCCTGATGTTTCGCCTGCATCTATGGCAAAACGTCAGGAGAGAATGCCTATAGAACATGGCCATATAGCCCGAAAAAACCTACAACAACCCAGTGATTCTGGCCATGAAAGTCTTCGACAATACATTGGACTCAAATAACCCAGGGCCCTTCCACACAGTCATATAACCCAGAATATCATGGCAGAAAAATTCCATGATATCTGCTTTGACCTGGGATATCTGAGTCCACATTGCCATATATTTCAGTCCAAAGGGCCTTCTTCGCTGTGGCCCCCAACTTCGTAACTCACTACCTGGTGAGATCAGACAAGCCCTCACCTTAGCAGCCTTCAAGAACAATTTAAAAACTTTTTTATTCCTTCCTTTGGCCTGCCCATTGTATCCAATTTTATGCTATGTTAATTTGCTTTATTTATTTTACTTTGCTACTGTATGTATTTTACTCTGGTGTAATTTTTGTCTTTTTTTCTTTTTCATTTTATTCTTACCTTACCTTACCTTACTTATATACCGCTGTTCTCAGCCCGAAGGCGACTCACAGCGGTTCACAACAAATACGAACAGCAAAAATTCAGTGCTACAGTATAGAAACAGTTAACAACCTAACACATTACACAATTAATAAACAGTTACTACAATACCCATTCACTGTCGTCTCGTCATCAAAAACATGTTCCAGATTCGTCATCCATTGTTCCATTCCAGTGTTCATTAACCAATCATTGCACTAATTATTCGAACGCCTGCTCAAACAGCCAGGTCTTCACTTTTTTGCGGAATACCATTAGAGATGGTGCTAGTCTAATGTCCGTAGGAAGGGCGTTCCACAGCCGAGGAGCCACCACCGAGAAGGCCCTATCTCTCGTCCCCGCCAGCCGAGCTTGAGAAGCAGGCGGGATCGAGAGCAGGGTCTCCCCGGAAGATCTCAAAGTCTGGTGGGTTCATAGGCAGAGATGCGGTCGGATAGGTAGCTTGGGCCGGAACCGTTTAGGGCTTTAAAGGCCAACGCCAGCACTTTGAATTCAGCCCGGTAGCAGATCGGTAGCCAGTGGAGTTGGCGCAACAGGGGGGTTGTATGCTCCCTGCGCTCCGCTCCTGTTAAAATCATGGCTGCCGAGCGTTGGACTAGTTGGAGCTTCCGAGCTTCTTCAAAGGCAACCCCACGTAGAGAGCGTTGCAGTAGTCTAAACGGGATGTAACCAGAGCGTGGACTACCATGGCCAAGTCAGACTTCCCAAGGTACGGGCGCAGCTGGCACACAAGCTTTAGCTGTGCAAATGCTCCCCTGGTCACCACCGAAACCTGGGGTTCCAGGCTCAGCGATGAGTCCAGGGTCACACCCAAGCTGCGAACCTGCGTCTGTTGTATTATATCTTTGGGCATGGCCTCATGTTAGCTGCCCGGAGTCCCCTTTGGGGAGATGGTGGCGGGGTATAAATAAAGATTGTTATTATTATTATTAAAGGAGGTAATGTGGGATTTTATTCAGCTGAGTGGAAGGGGCCCCAGTTCAAAGCAAATATTGTGGATTATCTGCCTTGATATTCTGGGTTATATGGCTGTGTGGAAGGGCCCTGGATCTACATTATCTGCTTTGAACTGGATTATATGGCAGTGTAGATTCAGGTCCCTTCTACACTGTCATATAATACAGATTATCAGAGCAGATGATACATGTTATCTGCTTTGAACTGGTTTATATGAGTCTACACTGCCATATATCCTGTTCAAAGCAGATAATCTGGATTCAGAAACTGGATTATATGACACTGTAGATCAGTCTAGGAATCACTAGTATGACTATGATTAATTTCCAGAATCAGAGATAACTAGAGAGAACATTTTACTCAAATCCATGAATAATTCAAACCTGTAAATATGGAGGGCTGACTGTACTTCTATGCAGGTTACACCATGGGGAAGAAATCTGCAGGAACCGAGTGCCCGTGTCTGTGTGGAACAGAAAGAACACATTCTCTTCAAAGTTGCTTAGAAAATGCAACACAGAGAAACGGAGAACAGGGTGTCTTTTTGGACTGTTGCTCCCCCCCCCCCCCATATCCTATATTTTTTTTATGATAGACACAAGCATCTACGGCTACATTCCCAACCCGGAAGGAATGCTGAGGAATCCCAGGAGCCCCTTCTACACTGCCATATAATTCACATTATCAAAGCAGATCATCTGGATTTTATATGACTGTGGAGAAGAGATTTCAGGGGAAGGAATTGACAAAACTACCCTTGATCCTTCTTTGCTCGTGAAAATCCTGTGATAGATCCATCAAGTGCCCATAAATGGACCCTTTGGCACCATCTACACAGCCATAATCCAGGTTATCAGAGCAAATAACCCATATTATCTGCTTCAAATTGGATTATATGACTACACAGCCATATAATCCAAGTTATGAAAGCAGATAAACTACATTATCTGCTTTGAACTGGATTAGAAAAGGCCATACTGCCATATAATCCGGGTTATGGAAGGGGATAACTCACACTATCCACTTTGAACTGGATTATATAAAACTACATTGCCATATAATCCATATTATCAGACCAGATAACCCATATACATTCGACAATACATTCAACCCATATTATTTGCTTCAAACTGGATTATATATAATAATAAATAATAATAAAACTTTATTTATACCCCGTCACCATCTCCCCAAGGGACTCGGAGCGGCTTACATGAGGCCAAGACCAACAAGACATCAATATGGCTACACTGCCATATAATCCAGGTTATGAAAGCAGATAAACCACATTATCTGCTTTGAACTGGATTAGATAAGGCCACACTGCCATATAATCCAGGCTATGAAAGGGGATAACCCGCACTATCCGCTTTGAACTGGATTTTATAAAACTACATTGCCATATAATCCAGGTTATCAGAGCAGATAACCCATATACATTCGGCAATACATTCAACCCATATTATCTGCTTCAAACCAGATTATATGACTACACTGCCATATAATCCAGGTAAGGAAAGCAGATAAATCACATTATCTGCTTTGAACTGGATTAGATAAGGCCACACTGCCATATAATCCAGGTTATCAAAGAAAACAACCCCCATCATCTTCTTTGAACTGGATTATATAAACTACACTACCATACAATCCAGGTTATGAAAGGGGATAACCTAAATATATTGTTGAAGGCTTTCATAGCTGGAATCACTGGGTTGTTGCAGGTTTTTTGGGTTGTATGGCCATGTTCTAGAAGCATTCTCTCCTGATGTTTTGCCTGCATCTGTGGCAAGCATCCTCAGATTATCCCACGTTATCTGTTTTAGACTGGGGGCGTTTCCACACAGCCTTATATCAGGGCAGGAAATCCCACATTATCTGAGTGTGGACTCAGATAACCCAGTTCAAAGCAGATACTGTGGGGTTTTTCTGTCTTGATATTGTGGAATACTGGGCTATGTGGAAGGGCTCTGGATTATATAAAACAGTGGTTCTCAACGTTCCTAATGCTGCGACCCCTTAATACAGTTCCTCATGTTGTGGTGACCCCCAACCATAAAATTATTTTCATTGCTACTTCATAATTGTAATGTTGTTCCTGTTATGAATCGTAATGTCAATATCTGATATGCAGGTTGTATTTTCATTCATTGCACCAAATTTGGCACGAATGCCCAAATTTGAATACTAGGGGGTTGGGGAGATTTTGGGTTTTGTAGCTGATGGGATGTATAGTTCACCTACAATCAAAGAGCATTCTGAACTCCACTAATGATGAAATTGAACTAAACTTGGCATACAGAACTCCCATTAGTAATAGAAAATACTGGAAGGATTTGATGGGCATTGAGTTTTGGAGTTGTAGTTCACCTACATCCAGAGAGCACTGTGAACTCAAACAACGATCAATCTGGACCACACTTGGCATGAATGCTCAATACGGTCAAATGTGAACAGTGGTGGAGTTTGGTGAAAATAGACCTTGACATTTGGGAGCTATAGTTGCTGGGATTTACAGTTCACCTGGAATCAAAGAGCATTCTGAACCCCACCAATGATAGAACTGAGCCAAACTTACCACACAGAAGGCTCATGGTCAAAGATGGTCTTTGGTACCCCGTATGACACCCCTCTTGCGACCTGCTCAGGGGTCCTGACGATAGCGAAAGCGCGAGGTGGGCAAGGGGGCTTTGTGCGAGGCCAGGCCTCATGCCAAGGACCCCGTGCCTACGCCAGATAGTGAGAGTTTGGGCAGGCGAGGCGGGTTTTGCGCAAGGCCGTGCCCTTGGGACGGAGCTAACAGAGGCGGCCTCGCGACCCCTCCGAAATGGCCAGGCGACCCCCCTGGGGGTCGTGACCCCCAGGTTGAGAACTGCTGATATAAAACTACACTGTTCAAAGCAGGTAATCTGGATTGTATATGGCAGTGTGGAAGGGGCCTCATATAATCCAGTTCAAAGCAGATAATCTGGATTATTTGCTTTCATCACCTGGATTATAATCCAGATTATCTGCTTATACACAGATTATAATGTGTAGGAGCAGCCTTGGAAAGGTAATAGGGATTCCCACAAGAGAGAAATGTATGGGGTCGCCAAACTGGACTCTGTGCAAGAAGATTCCCCATAAGAGGCCCCTGCAAAAATGCATCAAGTGAGAGATGTAGATGGTGCACATAACTGGGCCCTGAGACACATGCATGGGGACCCACAAGTGGATCCTATGGAATATCCATGGGGTCCCCATAAGCGAGTAATTCATGGGGTTCCCCAGAATTGGCCCCAAAACAAATCCACCAGCAAAAGATTCCCCCTTACCTTGACAGAGAGAGAGAAAGAGGTGGGAAGGGGGAGGAGCCTGGATCGCGTGACGCAAGCACCGGGGGCGTGGCTGAATCAAGGCCCCGCCCACCCTGCGGCTCTCCCCGGGAAGCCACGCCCCCTCATAGCCCGGGGGCGGGGCTAAGGAGCCGATTGTGACGTAGCGCTAGGGGGCGTGGTTTCACCCCCTCACCCCATTCCTCCTCCTCCCATTTCTCTATGAATGTCAAAATATTAAAAAAGGCATGCTTATTCCTTACTCCGTTACCCTTCTCTCACTCACCGGGTTACACTTCCTTCTCTGCCTTCTTTCGTCTTTTTTTTCTCCTCCCTCAAGGAGACTTCCCGTCACGTGAGTTCCGGGAGGAAACGAACTACGGTGGCCGGATGGAGTCTAAATTTCTTGCGGATGGAGAGAACGCGGTGGGAGGGGAGATGAGGGAGGGATGTGACGTGCGCATGCGCTGTTGAAAGAATGGAGAGAACGCGGTGGGAGGGGAGATGAGGGAGGGAAGGGAATTGCGCATGCGCTGTTGAATGGAAGCCTTCAGGTAAGAGCGGGGAAGTTGTTTCCTCTCTCTCTCTGCGTTTGCAGCGCGCATGCTCAAAGAAGCCGATGCAGTGGCCGAAAGAGGGCGCTGCTGCGGTTGCTATGGCAGCGCGGTTGCCATGGTGAAATCCAGCAGTTAGTGAGGCCTACAAAACTGAGGGAGAAACAGAGGAAACTCTTTACTAAAAATGGGGGACAAAGCCTGGCTTGAGAGCAGTACATGTGAAAAAGATCTTGGAGTCCTCGTGGACAATAAGTTAAACATGAGCCAGGAATGTGATGTGGCGGCAAAAAAAGCCAATGGGATTTTGGCCTGCATTCATAGGAGCATAGTGTCTAGATCCAAGGAAGTAATGCTACCCCTCTATTCTGCCTTGGTTAGACTACACCTGGAATATTGTGTCTTATTCTGGGCACCACAATTCAAGAGAGATATTGACAAGCTGGAATGTGTCCAGAGGAGGGCGACTAAAATGATCAAGGGTCTGGAGAACAAGCCCTATGAGGAGCGGCTTAAGGAGCTGGGCATGTTTAGTCTGAAGAAGAAAAGGCTGAGAGGGGATATGATAGCCATGTATAAATATGTGAGAGGAAGTCATAGGGAGGAGGGAGCAAGCATGCTTTCTGCTGACCTGGAGACTAGAACGTGGAACAATGGCTTCAAACTACAAGAGAGGAGATTCCATCTGAACATGAGGAAGAACTTCCTGACTGTGAGAGCCGTTCAGCAGTGGAACTCTCTGCCCCGGAGTGTGGAGGAGGCTCCTTCTTTGGAAGCTTTTAAACAGAGGCTGGATGTCCATCTGTCAAGGGTGCTTTGATTGCAATATTCCTGCTTCTTGGCAGAATGGGGTTGGACTGGATGCCCCATGAGGTTTCTAACAACTCTATGATTTCATGATTCTATGAATCTGAGTCTCTATGAAGCTGCAGAGTCAAAGCGAGGGTACATAGAGGTAGCCTGGCTCTTTCTGGTTTTAACATGGTGTTGTTCTCATGAAGGAGATATAGTTTTAAAAGGGAATGTTCACAGATGTTCCCAATGCCCATATGTCTTGATTTACTGCCATATCGGCCTGTTTCTGCAGTGGGCCTTTGTTTACAGAAAATGCTATTTATTTGTCGTGTCAGGGCAGCCAGTCAATTATATTACATTTCTAACAGAACAAAGCAAACAAACAGACAAAATACAAAATTTGTGAGTTTGGTAGTTGATTAAATGTCCTTTGACCAGTATCTGGCCACTTGGAGTGCCTCTGGTGTTGCCTCAAGAAGGTCCTCCATTGTGCATGTAGCAGGGCTCAGGTTGCATTGCAGCAGGTGGTCAGTGGTTTGCTCCTCTCCACACTCGCATATCGAGGATTCCACTTTGTGGCCCCATTTCTGAAGGTTGGCTCTGCATCTCGTGGTGCCAGGGCGCAGTCTATTCAGCGCCTTCCAAGTCGCCCAGTCTTCTGTATGCCCAGGGGGGAGTCTCTCATTTGGTATCAGCCATTGGTTGAGGTTCTGTGTTTGAGCCTGCCACTTTTGGACTCTCGCTTGCTGAGGTGTTCCAGCGAGTGTCTCTGTAGATCTTAGAAAACTATTTCTAG